TGGAAAAAATGGGAATGTCTGGATAAACGGGAACGGCTGGAAAATGGGGAAACAGCTGGTAAATGGGAACAGCCGGAAAAATGGCGAAACAGCTGGATCGGGGCAGGACTGAATAAATGAGGGCACATCTGGATCAGTGAGGGAACAGCTGGATCAATCGGGGCACAGCGGGATGCGGGGCATAGGCGCATCTCCAAGGGTGGGGACACAGCCCCGAGCTCGCCGATCCAAAGGGGATTCTCCCAAAAATCTCCTCGGGAAGAGCCGGCACGGGGAGGGGGGGTTGGGGTCACTCTGGGGTCACGGCACATCCCGGCCCCGATGTGCAGGAGGAGCCCGGCCCGTGCCCGCTGCAGTTTTAAATCTCATTTTTAAATCCTAGTTTTAAAGTGCATTTTTGAGAGGTTTTCCGTCACAAAAAGTACCTGGCGGGAGCCGGAGCCCGCGTTCCGCCCGGAGGGAGCAGCCCCGGGCAGAGCCAGGGGAGAATCCTCGGGATCGATCCCAGCATGGCCTCGTGCCCGGAGTTTAAAAGGAATTCCGGCAGTTCGGGAATTCCATCGTCTCAGGGCAGAGAAATGGAACTTACTGGAGTTTTCAGGGAGAGGAAGCTCGATCTGGCACCCTTGGGACCCCCTTCAGTTTAATTTTGAGGCAAAATACGGGATTTGGATGGAAACAGAATGTCAGGTGCGATTTTACTGTCCCAAAACGTCCTCGTGGAAGCACAGCGGGGATGGTCTAGGGACACCGGGAGCTGCTTCTGCAGCTCGGAGGGAGCACCTGGAGCGGATACCTGGCAAGGGAACGTTCTCCGTGTCCGGTTCCGTCCCTCCCGGGAAAAGGAACGCCGGGGGCAAAACGAGCGACTCCGTCCCTGGGTGGGCTCGAACCACCAACCTTTCGGTTAACAGCCGAACGCGCTAACCGATTGCGCCACAGAGACCGCGCTGCAACTCTTTCCCGCGCACAGCTCTCAGTGTAGGAACTGGAACAAAACACTGGCAACGGAAACGAAATACAGGGAATATGGGGAACGGGACACCGGGAATACCGGGACACCGGGAATGGAAACGGGATACCCGGAATGGGAACGGGACACCGGGAATGGGACACCAGGAACGGGACACCAGGAACGGGAACGAAATACCAGGAATACCGGGAACGGGACACCGGGAATTCCGGGAAAGCGAACGGAACATTGGGAATGGAACATTGGGAATGGGAACGGGACACCCATAATGGAATCGGGACACCGAGAACGGGATACGGGGACAGGATACAGGGAAAGGAAGAGCGGGAATGGGGAACAGGCACCGGCAACGGACAGCGGGAACAGGACACCAGACATCGGCCCCAAGCACAGGGACTCTCGACACCGGCACTGGGACGCCGAAACCGGGGCAACCGAGCACTGAGACCGGCACCGGTAACAGCTCCAGCA